GAGAAGGTTGACAAACTCTTCACATAATTGATGATAGAGAATCATAATCATCCCTACTTATTGGTCCTGTCAACTATGAGATCTCTTTAGCCTGATGTGAGTATGAACGAGTAACGATCCCACAAGGATGCTGAGTTTTGGGCAAAAGTCAAACCTTAGACGGTACACGAACCCGCGTCTCCCGCTTACCGTCCGACTGCATTACCCATCACGCCCGGGACAGCTCTTATCCTCACAGCTCTGAATAGCTTTTTGGGCCATAGTGCCTTACAGATTCACATGTTCAATGTGATGAGCCGGTTAGCCGATATCGGGAGGGAGATGTTGGTTCGAGTCCGACTAGGATCTGACTTTTGCTCACTCAGCATCCTTCGGTAACTCTCGAAGCGCGAACTTAGGCGTGAAACAGCAGTTATCCCACTTTACTGATGATGTCACGCGCTCTCAGAACGATACACACATATATCAACTTACTTGTTTACCATCCTCAACCATTCTGCTACGCGTAGTTTCGAGTTCAAACTCTGACGTCTGCAACATTGCTTTCAATTCTTGCAGAGCAACTACGTTGGAACGGAATTCGTTATACGCCGCAACAACGGTACCCTCACCCATGGGATTCAGATCTGAAATACTGGACATTAACTGATTGGCATTTAGTTGACATTTCATTTTCCTGAAAGAAGAACTCTAGCATAAATGTACTGCAAAGAATACAACTCGTTGAAAAAGAATGATGTGGCCTTATTCAATTTTCTTACTGGCCTAAAATCATGTAGGCAAATCACTAATGAACGATAAGGTTACCTAATTTGCACTTATTCAGGACCACTTCGATGTTCTTGAGCTTCTTCTGGCCAATGTTCGTCGGTAGCTTCATCTCTTGGGTGCGAAGATGCGCACCAGCGGATTTGAATTCGGGAAATCGGATAGTCGACACAGTCGATGGGTCCATCTGTAATACGGAGCGATCTAGATACTCATTACTAAGGTGAAACTATCACGGCGCTATGGATGATTTTTGTAAAACTATTACGCAAAGAACAAACTTTACATGTGAACACAGGGGTGAATGGTGGAGGCGTACCGCTATGAGTGAACGTGTGCTGCATTTTACATCCATTTTTCGACCTGTCAACCTGATCATCTTTTGGAGTCGTTTTCCGAGAAGCTGGAGGAAGCTCATTGCCACCACTCAATCCACCATCTTGCACACCCCAGCGACAACAAATAGAGGCATCACAGCCACTGCTGCTTATTCAGTCGCGTTCATACTTTGAAGCTTGAGAATGGGAGAATGAGAGAACAGGAGAATCGAAGATGAGCAGAGTGCGAGCTAAGGGAAAGTATAGGTATCGACCAGGCGTTTTGAAGGGATACGATAATCGCTGAATCGGCGTCTCGAAAGAGGGAAAAATGAGTGGGTGACCAACGATCGGCGCTGGCCACCAGCTTTATGGGAGAACAGGAATCGCAAAAATTCCGTCTCAGGAAAGTGCGCACCAAAGAATATGGGACTTCTTTGATTCTGATATTTCCCCAAAAGGGTCGTCCTGTGAGGACTCCATACATTCCCCTCTGCCTTTCATTCGTGTAGGTCCTCGCGTTCACCACTGCTTTCGCAGCGACGGCCCTTACTGCCTTCAGATATGGAGTGCCAGTTGCTGACACTATATTTATCGTTAAGAGCATTTATCGGCTTACTCAGCTGACCAGATAGTCACAATTAGAGGGAACCTTGTTTCTCAGCTTTTTTATATGATGAACCCCATCATCAGATATTCTGTCATTCCAGGTATTGGTGGTATCAGGCACTGGCGTAGTATCGAGTAATTCCTGTCAAAATACCCAAGCATCTCCAAATTTTGTAAACGGGCCTTTTCATATTTTATTTTTTTCATGTGGTTATAAGAAAGTGTGGAGAACGGTACCAGTTGAAGAATATGATTCTGGGGATGCTTGGAAGACTATTCACCCTCCCTGAGTCCATCCCCTGAGCCGTGGGCTTGAAGGAATCGAGCTATTTGCTTAATATCATGATTCTAGCGACAATCGCCGATGGTTCAAAGGCCAGGCTCAGCGGAGACTTCCCCTTTTCTGCCAACTATGGAATGTACATGTTCATCCTCTCCATACATAGGTTCTAAAATTCGAAATACTCACAGGAATAAGCATGGCACTGTTGGAGGTACTGGCCAATGTAGAGCTTCCTTTCTGTCGGTAGACGTTCTTCTTCTTACCTAACGCAGGCGAAATGCACACTCCGCTGAAACATACATATGATTACCAAGTTGTTTCAAACTTCCATATTTGACTGGATAAACCATCTCATTTCACTCCAATTCCTACAGCCAGTCATTAGTAATAGAAACACTGTGATTAATAAATAAGGTAAAGGGACTAGACACAAACCGATCGAATCCACCACGTCTACTGAGCATTTTGTGATAAATGTAGCGTAAGTAAGCGAGATTTTCGCAAGGAGAAGCTGTCGAAAGATCTGGGAGCATCGACGAACCGCACGCGCTGCCACGTATAGGACTGAGTGACGCTACGAAAACAGTAGTCGTTGAAACACACGTTCTCACACGTTATTTCCTGTTTTGTCAAGACCAGCACGAAGAACCGAGTAGAAACGTGAAACTGAGGAACTGGAAAATTCATGACTAGATATGGATTTGTTCGCTGTGAATGGTGGGCGTGTCAGGCGGGATGGGTTTGGCGCGCCGCCAGCTCGCTCTGCACCGCTGTTGAGGCGGGAAAGCGATAACAACTGATGGAAAACGACTGATACGAACCATATGAAACAGTCTCTTTGCTTGCTCACGCGAACAAATTGTTGGAAACAGGTTTCGCGCCGCGCCAAATCCATCCCGAATGACACGTACCATTATCCGCAGAGGCAAGGGCATAGATGCGTATGGACTGATCACTGCCCTCATCTGGGAGCCGTTCTAACAGCAATGCTACATTGTAGATAATCAGTCAGTCAATGTGTACTGAATCCTTTTCGCATATGCACCAGTACTCCAGTTCAGCGTTGGAAAAGAATATAGCCTAGCTTGTCTTTCATTATTTCGTCTGTAGTTTAGTTTCGTTCCTGAATCTCCTCAGTCGCAAAGCTTCTATTATCAGCAGCTGTTCTAACTTAGCCGAAGTGGTGCTGAATTTCTGACAAAGAAGTTTCTTCTGCAAGGGAGTTTCTTCTGCGAGCTTCATGTGACTGAATTGAATTTTTGACTTCGTCACGATTCCACAACCTCCCAAGACGTCAGATCGCTCAATCTTCCAAATAGCCGAATCGCCGAATTTCCTCGATCGCTAGCGAACGGTACCGACCAATACCCATCCACTATTCCGGCGCGCAATCGCCGGAAACGCGTGGTCTTCCGAATCGCTCAATCGTCGCAAATGCCAGATCGATAGCTATATTTTCCTCATCGCGCAATCTGTCAAATCTCCCCGAGCTCCTCGACCGTTGAATTTCCTCACTTGCAAAGTATGAACTAGCTATTTGTTGCCACCAGTCGACATGAATGTCTTTCGTTTGGAGCGATCATATAGCCACCGACCTGTCCAAAGGTCAAGCAAACTATGTTCTAAGGAGGGCAACTCGTCCGAACTCCAAAATATTGCACTCCCTAAGGATGTGTCCTTATTCGACCATTGGTTCGGGAGAGCGATTTCGTTGCTCTGATCAACAGCCACGACCGGGGGCAGTTCAACGTTAATGGACCGTAGCAAAGGCGTCCGGGAAGCATAATCTCTGGACATTTCATTTTCAGTGCATGTACCTGCAAGTCTCCAACACACCAATTTTCGTCTGTATCAACTTTCTAAGACTCGTATCGATTGAAAATAGTCAGTGCAACCGTGTATTCCAAGTTGCGTTTTCGTGTTATCGACAGGAAATCCTATCTGGCTTCTTTCCTGATTTCTTTTCGTCATCAATTCTTTGCAGTGAGCAAGAAGAACAGAACAGACGAAAGATCCTCTATTCCAAATGTAATCAAATCCTTACAGCTGTTCATAGAATATCGGTGGAACGCCTGCGGTCGCGCAATCAAATCGCGAGTATGAACGCACTCCGAGCGACTACGAGGGAATGGCCTGGTTAGCAGGAGCACTATAGTCAATATTCACGGCTCTTTGGCTGTAGATTAGGCGGCATCCAGGTACCGAGCTCCCTCTACTGACCTCGTAGCCACAACTGAAAGACTTACAACTAAGATGCTGAGGTTGCAATAAGAGAGAAGCTGGAGAATACTCCGAACAGTCTTGCCAATATTGTCTATTCCAAAAGGTATGTGTACCGAGAAAAAATCGGCACTATTTACCCTTTACTGCCCCAATCTTCCAAAATCAGGCCAGTTTCTGACCGACTTTTTTCTGCGTTGGCAGAATTGGCTGAAAATTTGTCTCCTGGGGTAGTTTGACCTCCTGAACATGAATATCACATCCGCTCGGCACGAAACCTCTGGCGCCCGCGCCACAGGCGCCGGCGCCAAAATACCCTAAATCACCAAATTCGCTGAAAACTTGCTCCCAGGGTAGTTCCTCCCGAACACGAATATCACATCCGCTCGACCCGAAACCTCCTGGCGATCACGCTACATGCGCCGGCGCCAAGTGGCGCGGGCGCCAGGAAGTTTCGGGCTAAGCGAATGTGATATTCGTATTTAGGAGGTCAAACTACCCCAGGAGACAACATTTGAGCCAAATCTGTCCACGGAGAAAAAAGTCGGTCAAAAACTGGCTCAATTCTGGATGGTTGGGGCAGTAAAGGGTAAATAGTGCCAAAACCCAACATATCGAACTTTGCGGTTTCTCATGTGGGAAGGGACTGCAAGACCATTGAAGATTCGCCTGAACGAGTACTGAAGAATGATAACTACTTTGTCCACACTGCAGTGCTACGGACACCGTACGACTTATCATGGGGACGGAGACTCTCCTTCCTTCATCGTGAGTGTTCTGCATAATTATTTGGCCTTATCGGGTAGAGGAAAATCATAGGGAAGTGAGGGGAAACAACTCGAACGCCAGATGAATTCCTGGACTTCTTTGCATTGGGGTTACTGAGCTTTCCTCATTCGATACGCTAACAGACTCCTCGTTTCGTTTTCGTTTCATGTAGAAAATATCACATCTACTGAATTGTAGCTTGAGATCGTTGAAGTATTCTCTGACACTTATTCAAGGCACTGGTGCCAAAAGCTCACTAATAGAATATCAACACAGGAGGTCCAAAGCTTCCATCTAACACTTTATCGACGAAGCTCAGAGATGGTAGCAACTTGCCATATCTTACAGTACTAAGGAGTTATCACAAGCATCACATCACCTCCAACTGATACAGCGACATCGATTGGCCCCTAATATCGCTAGCGGCCGCCCACAACATTCACCACCACACTCAAGGGGCATTTGCAGACGGACAGACGGACACACGGGGCGAGAGACAGACTTACAAACCGAAAACAAACGCACTTATGACAGGGTTCAGACTTCGGGACGGCGCGCGTCGGTGCGCTAACATTGGAGCTACGCTGAAATGCTACCGGCGCCGATCTATACTTGCTGCAACGGTAGGGTATCGACGCACGTGACAGCGCGTTATCGCAAAGTCTGAACGCTGCATTAGTGATTTATATAACAGAGGAATTATCATTCTCAACACTATTAAGATGTCCCATAAGCCTCATTTTTCCTGAAATCGCGATTTGCGCAAGTCTGTCGGATTATGCGACAGCCAGATACCATCCTTCTTATTCTGTATGCAGACCGTCTGCCACATCGCAGTGTACGAGCTATCAGCCGAGTAACCACTGCCCAAGTTTAAGTGGAGAGCGATTACTTCCGCGCTGGACCGAAGGCAGCCGACACAGACAATATACTGGAAAGGCTGCGTTTATACTTTGCGTTTATACTTTGCGGCAGCGTAGCGTAGCGCTTCCAGCGTTTCACTAGCGTTTCGCTAGCGTTTGCCAGCTAGAGAGTATAGAAGAGTAGGAGAGTACAGAATACTCTCCTACTATCCCATAGTCTCTACTCCCTGCCGCTGCAAGCGCTAGCGAAACGCTAGTGAAACGCTCGTGAAACGCTGGGAGCGCTAGATCGATAGCTATACATCCCGTGCCCTCGCTACGCTAGCGTACGCTGGTGACGCTGGGAACGCTAGATCGATATCTATCCTTTCCCCGACACTGCCGCTGGCGTACGCTGGAAGCGCTACGCTACGCTGCCGCAAAGTATAAACGCAGCCTAAATGATCGAACACGTAACTGCGCTGGTTGAGTAAGAATGGAATTTCACCACAACGATATGTGCACAGTTGGGACGATATGTTGGATTCATTCTTTTCTCCTAGCCACCGTTCTTCTGAGCGATCATCAAGGATGCTACTCTCATGGCCTCCTTCGTCACCACTACTGAACCAGAGGAGATGGTTAGCGCCATGATTCCAACGATCGAGCACAAAGAACGCTACTGCTTTTTCCAACAATTCCACGCAAATCTAAGAAAACGCAGCAGGCTGCTTCACAAAGGTTCTGAAGTGACGCTCCCCTCAATATTTCTTGACCTGGTGGACGGACGTGCGTGAAGCGGCACCAAGTTGATTGTGCAACCTCACTGCGTTTTTCGGAAGTAAGAAAGGAACATTCTGACCCGAAAATTCAGAAACTTATGGGACACCATGACAGTAAAGTGAAGAAAATAGAGGAAACACGACAATCAAAAGTATTGGAACCAAGTTTCTTTTTTGATGCCGAACAGGTTCTTCCTGCCAGACTGCGTTCATACTTTGCGTCACGGTCCACCAACGTGCATCAGCGTCTTGAGGGACCAGCGAAGTAAAGCTATCGATCTATCGAATGCCAGTGTCCACCAGCGTAGCAGCATTTTTGCGGGCACCTTCGTAACTGAGCAAAACTGCCCGCGAAAACGTTGCGGTACGCTGGAAGGTGGTGGTGATGGACACTGGCGTTCGCTAGATCGATATCCATAACTTTCCCAGTCGCTAGTAAACGCTGACGCAAAGTATGAACACAGCATCGTTGACATTTCCTCTCCTTATGTAGTTCGTTGGCCTGAGCCACAGTTTCTTCAAAAGGGGAGGCGGAGACGCAGGACTGATGACTCAGAAGCTTCGAAACTACTACGGACGACGAACA